TTCTTCATAACAACCACCAACTTGTTCAATGCCATTTTTTAATTTCATTTTTTGACAGATCAGTTCAAGTTTTCGTTTACCTTCACTGCCATCTCCTATTGGTGCAATGATGTGTCATCTTTTCACAAGTAAAGATATTTATGCGCCATTTTGTCTGCTTCCATGTAGGCAGACTCAATTTCTTCAATTTCTTTTGTGACTTTTGCTACCATTTCAAAATCATTCTTTTTCTGGTACACAATTGAAAGCTCATCCATTGCTTTCATTGCAGCCAATTGTGCTTCGTCGATCTTTTCCCAACATTTGCAAACATCATTTCTGCTCAGAAGGTTGGAATTAAGTAATTCCATCAGGGTTCTTCTCATTCTTGTAAACGTCATTTTTGTATTTGCTTTAGCTTGTTTAAGTTGATCCATCTGATTATGATGAATGTCATCTAACTCGCTTTCACTATTGTTCATTTTTATATTTAATTTGCAGAAACTACCCTCTGCTACCAAATGTTCATGAGAAATATTAAACTTAATATTATGTGAAATTTTTAGCATTATATATTTAGATTTAACGCTGATTAGTATTATACTAAAACGTTACTTTATTATAAATTTTACCATATAATATTTTCCCAGAGAGATATTATAGGTGTTTTTAAACTTTTTAAATTATCTATTTACAAAACTGGCTAATTGCCTCATTAGCTTAGGTAATTTCTAAGGTCAATATATGACACTTAGAGACATTTCTATTACAAGACTATTATTTACATTTAAGTATTATTTAAACTAATAGTCTAGTAAACAATATAATACATAATTCTTGATACCTGTAAGACTTTTGATGGAATAAATTTCTCAGAAACACTGTATTTAATAAATGGCAACGCTATATTTAACTTATAGAAAATAAAAGTGAAAAGCATCGGTTTACAATTGTGGAACCTTATCCAAAAATGATACTAAAACTTATGATTTGAATTTACATTTATGAGAATAAAAATTTGTAAGAGAAAAAGCAATTTTCTAATTTATACATCAGTATAGCATAATTATAAACCAATGCAATTGATTTTGAACCTGTATATATTAAAGCGTTCTTGAATAATTAAACTTTTGCCCATTAAATTTTTGTTTAACTAATCTTATTATGATAAAATATTATCCATTAAAAAAGTTCTATTAAATGTGTTTTTCTTACAAAGATATTGTCATAAAAAAAAATAATTAGATAACGTTGACTTGTTTTTGTTTAAAACATTTTTTTCAAATGCAGCATTGGGAAGATAAACGTGTATGCAAATAATAATGATAATAATAAAAAAAAACAACCTATTAATCAAGTAAAATTTTACAATAATCCAAGAAATTTTAGGAAATATTAACAATCATAGGGTAGATTAAATACCACAGTATTTAAATGTATCAAAATACAAAAAACAACCTATCAATCAAGTAAAATTTCACAATAATCCAAGAAGTATTAGGAAATATTAACAATCATAGGGTAGATTAAATACCACAGTAATTAAAAGTATGAAAATGCCTATTAAGCATTATATTGTTTTTACTTACAATAACTTGACAGTTGGCTAACATGTCATAACCATCTTTACCACTAGCAATGTAAATTTTTGTTACAACAGTGTAATCCTAAATTATATAAAAAAAGCAATATACATTTTTAAAAAATTTTCAAAATTCAAAACTTCACTGCTAATAAGCTTACAAGTTTTAATTAATTTTGAACTTATTAAAGAATGATTAAAAAATATACACAAAATCTAAAAAACTGTAAATTTTATTAATACATAAAGATGAGAGAAAACTCCAAAGCACCAATGTTTGTGGAAAAAATTAAATAAATCTTTTTAAAAATGAATCAACGGTGACAGTAAAAAGTTAAAACTTTGTTGAATGAGTCATATGCAAATGAGTTCTGTTTAATGAGAAAAAGTGATTATAGCTCGGTTAAGCACTAATCACACTAATCACACTAATCACACTAGATGTAAACTTGTGACAATGAGACAGAGGTTCAAGCTTAGCAGCTAGTTCAACAAATTTAAAATACTTTTGCGGACCTTGTCTTAAAAAGAAAGAACTTATTGAAAGTACCTGTCCTAAAATAGCAACAGTATTCAATGAATGAGAGATTTTTTTTTAAGTAATAAATGAAATTAGGAGTAAGAATGAAACAGCACAGGGCCAAGGATGGAACCTTGTGGCACCCAAAAAGTTACTGAAATGGAAGGAGAGAATTGTATATCAAGGACAACTTTAATCCTGAAATTAGAATCTAATGATTCAATAATTTTTAAAACATTACCAGATACACTATATGAAGCAAGCTCATGGACCATGTAAGGACCAAGTAAGCTCATGGACCACACTATATCAAGTAAGCTCAAGACCAGCATCCCAGACATTAAAATCACAGATGTCATTTTCCAGCAGATTAGAAATAGCAGCAGCACAAGGAGAAAATCATGAGTTTTGAAAAATCATGGGGTAGAATGAGATTTGAAACCAACAAGAAGAAATAAAAATGTCTTAACCACCTAAAAAAGAACAAAGAAAAACTGAGAACCAACTAGAGTCATAGGCAAGACACAAAAAAAGGTGCAAAGTTAAAAATTTAGTCTGGAAAACAACTCACAAAGTTAACTAAGAGTAAGAGATTAAGAAAGACTAAAATTTTAAGCTTTAGAATCAGCAAGGCCAGTGGTACTAGAATCAATTCAGCGTGGCTAAAGCCATTCAGTGGTACTAAAACCATTTAGTATGAATAACAACAATGTTGGCTAATGGAAAAAATAAAAAAAAAACTTGTTCAATTTAATCAGAAACAAAATTGAAAAGAGTGCAGTCTTGGGAAGAAAGAAAATGATAAAGAATAAAGAGAAATGTAATTGAGTGAAGAGGTGCTAAGTAAAGGTACAAAAAATAGAAGATTCAAACCAGATTTCACAACAAACAAGTGAACTGATATATAAGTATGTGCCCTGGTTAAGTATGTAACTGTTAGAGACTTTGCAAATCATAGGCTAATAGCTATTAACACTAAGATTTACAATTAAATTTAAACTTTTTTTTTTTTTATCAAAACTAAGATTTACAATTAAATTAAATTAAAAAATTCAAGACAAACAACTAATTACATTGTATATAACTAACAATTTATTATAACTTTGTTAAATAAGCAAAGTTAGAATTATTTAAACTACTGAATGTATTGCAACAATACCTGATTCAATTGTAATGGAATAGTATCATGAACTTTTACAGTATCTTTGCAGATTCTTTCACCAGCAGGCATTTCTGGATTAAACACAAAGGAAATTCCTGAAACCTAAAAATATGTTTTACTATTCATCTATATATATATATATATATATATATATATATATATATATATATATATATATATATATATATATATATATATATATATATATATATATATATATATATATATATATATATATATATATATATATATATATATATATATATATATATATATATATATATATATATATATATGTATATATTAGGGCCCTGCAAAGCTTCAAAATTTCAAATCAAATCAAATCAAAAATATTATTCGAGATACAATTCGAAAATTTTCAAAAATCGAATCACTTATTTTGCTTTTGTTGTGGGTATTTTAGATATTCTGCGCTTAAATTATAAAGCCGAAAAAAATAAACTTTAAAATATTAAAATTATTAAAAATATTATAAAAACTTAAAAATATTAAATCCACATGAAAAAAACTGCTAGATCAAATTTTAACATACTTGCAGAAAACGTCCTTCATATTTTGGATACTGTGAAACACTGTTTTCTAAAACTTTTAATAAAACTTCACCTAAAAAAAAATTAAACATTTAAAACTACCAAACTTCATTACATGCTGTTGTTTATACTATTAAGCAAATACCTGAAACTTTAATGACCACCAAGCTGTCTACCATTGGTAATATACCAAATAGATCCTGTATAATTATATGTTTAACTTTTTTACTGAACGATTAACCAAATAAATGAATAAGTATATATACATTACCTAGTCACATTTAAAAAATACTATACCTTCATTTTAAAAGGACCAGCAGGATGAAGGGCATCAGATCGAAGACTGCCACTATTTAGAAGAGCAATATCTGCTTGTGTTGCAGCACGCATAATATCACAGATAAAGTTCCCTTATGTTAAAAAAAGAGTTACAGCCAAAAAGGAAAAAAAACTATTTCTAAATGTACTATAAGTAAAAAAAAACATAATAATACTAATATTGACAATAATAATACTATCATGTCAAAGAACATTTAATTTCTGTTGTTATCCAAAAAATAGAGAAGAATCTTAATTCTAACAGAAACTTATTTAAAAACAAAAATTTTGCAAATTTTGAGTTAAATAAATAAGCAGTTTAAGGCTAATAAACCTATTGTTATAGTAAAACGTGTTGTTGTTTCAAAAAAATGTGTTAGTTTTTCAATTTAATTTAAAATTAGCTTTAAAAATGAAGAAAAAAGAAGAAGACATAAGAGAAAAAATTATGCACAAATATTTTGCAAGTCCAAATAGTAGCTACAATACAATAGTTAAAGCATTGTAAATACATCTATGCACCATTAGTCGTGTAATTCATGCGGTAATAATGTAGTGGTAGAGCACTCACTTTTTTTTTTTTTAATTTAATTCACCTCCTCAAGGCTGAGAAGGCCACTACAGACAAGGAGGCTACTTATTTGTGGTTATAACCCTCTCTCAACTCTATAACTCCGAAAAATGAACCTTGATGAACAAGGCCGCTGCGCAAAGAAACGACTTAAGCAAGAGGTTCCAAGTTCGATCCCCGCCACGCCCCTGGTAGTACAGCACTCAACTTGTTTCTTTGCACAGCAGCCTTGTTTGTCAAGGTAAGTGTTTTAGAGTCATAGAGTTGAAAAAGGGTTATAACCACAATAAAGTAGCCTCCTTATCTGTAGTGGCCTTCTCAGTCTTGGGGAGGTTAATTAACATAAAAATAAAAAATAAAAAATTCAATGTTTTTCTCAAACAAAATCAATCAAACGCAAATTTGTTGGTGGAAGAAACGAGGGTTTTAGAGGATATAAAACAAGTTAGAAAACTGGTTAACAGTTTTAAGATTAACCAAGCCTTTCACTATAGGAACGTGCAAAAATTTTTGGACTTTCTCATAGTTTTGTTGTTCAAAATTGTTTTCATTCTTTCAAAGTACAAAAAGTGTCCAACTGATGTGAAACTCAACAAAAAAGTGATTTTTATTCTGTGTGCAAGAAATCGCTGGAGTTGACAGAAACAGAAGCTGGAGTTGTATCAATGTCAAGCAATGTATTAACCTGTTTGTCAGCCTTATCAGTTAGGGTGTGATTAGTAGAATCAAGAGATGAAATTGATGAAAAGTTTTTAGCAAACAATTCAGCTTTGTATTTAGTAACAAAATCTGAACCATGCAAAAGAGGAGGAATATTAGATTTGCCCTTATTATAGACACTGTTTTTTTTTTATTTCGTGATCTGAGAATAGAGGGCTTTGGTGTTTGACAAAATCTTATTACAATGGTTTCTAGCAATAGTAAACAGATGTCTGTTTTCTGGAGAACTGTTTTGGTGATAGATATGAAAGTAATGGTTATGATTAGAAATTACAGCAGCATAATGAGAGGAAAAACTTTGAAAAGAGTGAGGATTGACTTGGAATGGTTGAGAGGAAAAAAAAATTTCATGCCAGCCTGAATTCAAGAAGTTACATAAGAAGCACATTTGTCAAAGAGAAGACAAAAAATTTATACCCAAGAGCAATCACAAAGGAAATCTCGGAAAGAGTTCCAATCAGCTTTAAGGTAATTGTAAAAAGTACGATGATAGAAGGACTATGTATTAAGTCAGAGTTGGCATCTCCTAGCCTTTGCCTTAAAAAAAGTGTATCCTACAAGGCAACAGAGCTTTAAACAGGTTGTACTGGGTTACATGTTACCAGTAGCAAGATAACCTGATTTGACAGAAATATATATATATATATATATATATATATATATATATATATATATATATATATATATATATATATATATATATATATATATATATATATACATATATATATATATATATATATATATATATATATATATATATATATATATATATATATATATATATATATATATATATATATATATATATATATATATATATATAAACGAATTCACTTAAATCAATATTGTAAGTAACCACTATTTAAGTTGTAACCGGAGCACAGCTCACCTAAAAGTGAAAATGGACAAAAATATATATTTTTGAGAATGTCTATAAAAATTATGTTTCTAGCTAATTTCTAAGTGATGGTTTGTAATTTTTGAAGTTGGTACTATGTACTGAGTCCATGAAGTTGGTACTATTTACTGAATCCAAAGATTGTGGTAACTTTTTCGGTTAATTTTTTGAATTTTTTAGTGAAAAAAATTGCAGAGATTAAATTCTGAAAACCACAAAAACCTAGAAATTAAAAAAAAGTCAATGATATCAAAATCATTGGAGAATAAGAAAAAAATGTAGGTAGCAGAAACATGGGTATCAAAAACAATATTAAGAATACTCATATAGAAGCTGAAAAGGATGTATTATTCTATGTGTAAATTAGACTGTACTGTCTAATTTACAGATAGTAAATATTTTTTTTATTGACCTGATGCCAACCTGATGGTTGGCAAAATATGCTACAGGAGTTTGAACTGACCTAGAACTTAGGCACCATACTGCATATAAATAAAGATTAGAAACAGTAAACCTTACTAGACAAAAAGTTACAGTTTTTATGGCAACATGACCCAGCTGAACAAAATTCATGCAAGACTTAACAAAATATCATTTGAGCACAAGAAAATTTCTGGGTCTTTTTCAAAAAAATTTCAGCTCTGCATAAGTTACAAACAATATGCAGCAGCAAAATAGTATTCTGAATTGTTGCAAGCCACCTCACAATCCTTGAAAGGTTTTTAAAAAAAGTAATTTCAGTACAAACCAAATTGTTCAAACTGACAGCAATCCCTATAGTGCAGTAATTAAGTTAAACAAGTTAAGTGGCATAAGTTTAGAATTGCATTAAGTTAAGAATTGCATGAACAAACATTTTCTAATACTAATGTTATTTAATATATTTCAAAAAATTTCAATTTTTTTTTAAAAACGCAGTTTTACCTAAGTTTGATTCTTTTGTTCTAACTGTTGAAAATCTTCCATCAAGTTCTACATTTACAACTCCAAGTTCATGTTCCATTTTTTGACCAAGCACAGCTGTAAAAAAGAGTTTTTAGTTTTAAAAAAAAAATTTCTTGATTCATTTTTATTTTTGCTGAAATTAAACTTAATTATAATAACTCACAAACAATTGTCAATTTTAAATAATTAATTTAGTAATTGTCAAATTTATAAATAATATCACGTTTTTGGAGTAAACAGAAACAAAAAGTTTTTACACATGAACTTTAAGCACTCTGCCTTTACTTCTTCATTTTCAGAAATGTCTGAAGTTATTTCGTGTCTTTTAGTTGATATCTGAATGCCATGTGAAAAATCTACAACGATTTCAGTAAACTCACGGAAGTCTGTACCACTTTTTACAAATACCTTTCCATTGTGCTAAAAAATAAAATTGAATAAAACAATCAACTTTATAATGAGTGCTTGATAAAAATAGGTCATACTACTGGGTCTTTAATAAAAATCTGTGAAATTTATAAATTACTTTTACTCCCTTTAGGGAGTAAAAGCAATTTATAAATTTCACAAAATTATATTATAAAAAAATTTCACAAAAAATATTTTTATTTAATTTGTAGCTAAATAATGTTGCTAAATAATTTAGCAAATAAAAATATTTTTATATAGAATATCAATTTCTTTATTAGTTTAAATATTAAATTTTAAAAAATGTGTTTTTTATAATATTTTAGGTATTAATTTGTTAATTTTTTTCAGTTTTCATATATTTTACAAGTGCAACATTAGATAAATGTTGCTTGATGAGAAGATTGATTTACTAAATAAAAATTTATAAATTCTTTTTCTGCTAGTTTCTTGTTTTGATATTATTTTCTAAGAAATATGCAACTTTTGTATAAAATACAATATGCCCAAAGAGTATTTTGGATTAAAATAGATAATATCTGAATTTAATAAAAACAGTGGGTGTACCATTTTTTAACATTTTACAGACTTTTATTAAACACTCATTAGGTATATAATGTTAGAAATGTTTAAATGATAAAGATAAAATATTAAAAATAAATATAAAAATTAAACTATAATATTACAACAATTTTCTAAAAGTTACCTCTTTTGTTTCATAATGATGATCATGACCTCCTAATACTAAGTTAATATCAACATCGCTTTCCAAAAGTTTAATGTCATTTGGCACTCGCATGTGAGTTAATGCAATTATAAATGTACAATTCTATAAAAAGCACTTATTAAATTTCTGTAATACATAAACAAAATTATGCATTATAAGTATATAGTTTAGTAACAAGATTTAAAGTTCAATAAAATATAAAAATATAAAATTTTGAAAATATAAGTTAAATATTACTTCTTCTTCTTTTAGCTCCTTGACCAAAGATTTTGCACAATCAATAAAGTCAATGAACTCTACATCCTCAGGGTCTACTGTAGATAAAGTTACTAACCATTCTTCTTCAACTAACCCAATAATACCAATCTGTTAATTTTAAAAGATATTGTAGATATTATGGGTTGATTACTATTATTATTAATTGAATAACTTCCGTTAAAGAAAAAAATCATCAAACCTTTGTATGTTTATTGTATGTCGTATAAGTATGTTTTGCCTAAAATTGTGCTAAAAGTTTGGGGAAAATGATTCTAAAAATTAAGCATCACCTGCCAAAATGTAATGGAAATTGCTTTTTTCAAAAAACTAAAAAAAACTTAAACTAGATAAACAATTTTTTAAAGATTTAAAGTTTCATTAAAAAATCGAAGTCATACTGAAACAGGGAGCTGAGGGTTACAGTAAATATATCAACTGACTATCTAGGAAGTACATGCAAGGAAGTTCCCCTAAGCTGACCAAAGGTTTGGTTGTTGGGGCAGCAACCTTTTTTAAATCATTCTTTGTTTATTTCTTTCAGAAAACCTGTAAAGATTTAATCAAATGCTGATTTTTATACAAAAAATCATATGTCACACACATAAAAAAACCAATGAAAATTTTTATGTCATACACAACAAAAACCAATGAAAATTTTTATTTATGAGCAAAATAAAATTTTATTTATTAGCAAAATAATATCATGAGCAAAACAAAGTAAAAGCAAAATAGTATTTCAAAAGTATTAATTATAATAAATTATAAATTGCTTATAAATAAATTATAAGCAAAAAGTATTGAAATAAAATGAAAAAAAATTTTAATGATATTTTACTAATATACCTAAAAAAAAATTTTGGACACAAATGTAATGCAGTTTTATAGTTGTTACATTTACATTATAGTTAATTGTTATGTTTTACAGTTATATTGTCGGAGATCATGCAAATCAGTGTAACTAGTATTGGCTACTATATTTGGATATTAATAATTTTAACACCAAATATCTATTGTTGGCATTACAAAAAACATGAATAATACTCTTTATACTAAAATGAACCCAAAATCTGTTGAAATAAAAAATATAAAATTTTAAACTCTAGTAAAAAAGCTGTACTGCAGATACGCGGTATTATCCGATGCTAGTTACGTGGTTTTGCACTATCCCTGATGATATACCATATTACACAGCTAAGAATATTAAACTCAAAAACTCAGGAAATATATAGATAATGTGAATTGAAACAAAATTATAAATAATATAAAATAAAATATATTTTGTGTATATAAATGCTTTTAACATAAATTTAGTAATAATGCTTTTACTTTTTTTTTAATTATTTTAAATTTTCTTAATTTAATTAAACAAGAAAACCGCAACATTGTAATATTTTTAAAGTTATTTTTAGTTTGAATCTGCATGTATAGATGCAATTATTAAATAATTTTATATTGAATAGATGCAATTAAATAATTTTATAAATCATTGATTTTATGGTCTTTGTAAACTTTAATAGTTTGCTATATTAAGTTTAGGTAATATATAATGAATATTTAAAATATCTGGAGCAAAGAAATTGAAAAACTTTAGATAAAAACAAAAAACTAACAAAGAATATTGCATAAAGAAAATAAAAGGATTGAGAACCTGAGAAAATTGAAAGTTGCTAAAATGATCAGCGGGTTCATATAAAGAAAACAACTGATTACAAAAAAGAATTATACAAATAATTAAAGACCAGTTAAAAGCTTCTAGTTCAAATAATTGCACTGATATTGTTTGCAATTATACATCGTTATGTTAATGAAAAAAATAAGTTAGTAGTTGGTTTTTATTACTGAACAAACATTGTCTTTACAATGCCTAGTCTAAAAGATAAAAAATAAAAAGCTGAAAAAAATACTTTTTGACAACGTTTTTGAGAGACGTTCACACTATTTTTTAATCAATCTATCGAGAGGTGATGCCTTTCTCTATATTCTGTAATCTAGGCCTAAAAATATATTTATATTTTTAGAAGAAGCACCTGCAGACTAGTAAAAATCCAAACAACATGAGAACTTTTGCTTATTATTTAAACCATTTAACATCAGCTATCATATAGTTTTTGGTGGTTATATAACCCCTGCAGGTTACAGTAACTTAATTTATCTAGTTAAGTCGACAACTATCTGCAACACAAAAACAAAGTAAAAAAAAAACAAGGACAAAGGTAGTATTTACTGCTTTATACATATATACACACATACATAAAATCATACATGCATACACACAATGCGTGTCACACATACACTTATTAAGTATATGTTTGACACGCATTGTGTATATGTGTGTATGTATGATTGTATGTAAGTATCTATGTATGAATTTATGTATGTATGTATGTAGTATGTATGTATGTATGTATGTATGTATGTATGTATGTATGTATGTATGTATGTATGTATGTATGTATGTATGTATGTATGTATGTATGTATGTATGTATGCATATATGTATGTATGCATGTATGGATGTGTTTATGAATATATATGTAAATGTATGTGCATGTCTCTTTGAATGTGTATATAGATATACTTAAATATATTATTGTTATTATTATCATTATTTTAATTAACATCATTATTTTTATTAATATCATTATTTTTATTGTTATTAATACCATTTGTATTATTATAGTTATTATTAATGTTATTAACATTGTTAACGTTATGATTTTTAGAGCTGTTACTATTTATTATTAACATTCTCATTATTAGGTGATTATGCATCATTAGTAACTATATTATTTGTAAACATACTTGAACTGTAAGATCATGTAATTTAGAGTATATATTAATTGAATTAAGTTATGAATACGTAACCCTTACAAAATGCAATTAAAATCTGGATTTTCTTTACTTGGTAATAATATATTTGGATTAATCAACTTACCAAAAACTTTCCCTATTTCACACATTACAAAACAAAGAGTTGTTATTACTTTAGATTTACATGTTATAAGACTTAAGAAGGTGTTCTTATTGTAAGTTTTAATTTTTTTCCATGGAGACACAAAAAACAGGATTTCCTCAAAAATGCCAGAAACGTCACTTGAAGCGTTGTATTTCGTATTAAATACGTATTAAATACGTAAATAATACGTTCGTCATGACATAATGATATTTTTCCGCGCTTCGTTAGAAATCAAAGTTTCGCTGAAACTTGGCTTTTTTTGGCGAAAGTTGGATTTTAGCAAATCCAACTTTCGCCAAAAAAAGTATGGGCCGAAGATTGTTTCTACAATCGGGTTGTCCAAAATAAACATCACGCCTTGAGGGGTGTTAGTAGGTTTTGCGACGACTCATACAAAACTTGGTTCTTAAGTGTTACGATCTTCAGACGAGGGGTGGGGAGAGGTCAAAAACGGTCAAAAATTGCGTGACGTAACAAATAGACGACGTAAATTATGGCATTAAAATGACAATTTAAACGAAGTTGCTTAAATCAAAAAAAAAAAAGGATTAGTTAAATAAAAAACAAAACAAAACAAAAAAAACAAGCTACAAGTTAACCAATGATAATAAGAGTAACCATGGCCTACTTAAATTTAATTTAAGTAGGCCATGGAGTAACATAAAGATTAGTGATAAAAGGAATGTAAAAAAAAAAAACAATAGCTTTTTTTACTAATGATGACAAGTAAAAGCAATATAAAAAAGAACAGTATAAATTTACAAAAAATAACCAAGGACAACATATTGAAAGGAAAGCCATTAACTTTGATAAGGGGTCGCCTATAAATAACGTCACGCTCTAAAGAGTGCGAGGGGGTGATAATTTTTAATGTGTTACGATATTGTGACGATAGGAGGAGGGGTCAAAAAAGGCCTGAAGTAATTTATGAACAATCCCTAAGTAAATAACTTTGTCAAGCAAAATAATTATTATGAATTTAGTTTAATAGAAAAAATGAAGTATAACTTGGTCTTTTCCCGACAAAGTTTAAACATATTAAACCAGATCAGGTGTTGCGTAATGGTAAAACGCTTGCTTCGTAAGCGAGAAGTTCCGATTTCAGTTTCTGCAACATCCCTGATAGTACCGCACTAAACTCGTTTCACCGCCCAGAGGCCTTGGTTGTCAAAGTTTGTGTTTCGGAGTTATAGAGTTGAAATAATGATGTAACCACAATTAAAGTAGTCTCAACTGTTTTTTGGTCTTTTCGGCCTTAGGGAGGTGAATTAACATATTTAAAAAAACCGTAAAAGTTTGCTGGGCCCTAGACAATATTTGAGTTTTGAATGTCTTTCAGCAATCAATAAAGTGAGTTTGAAGTCTAGAAACTTTGATGCTCCTAGCCACATTTTTTGTTTTGCGGTTAATAAGACTTGCGTTATGGTTGTGATTTATGTGGTCATAAATGTGACAGTGATTTTTTTTTAAAACATCTTCGCCTCCAAAAAGGCTGCAAGAAACCACTATTAGAGTTAGAAGTTACTTGAAGAGAAAAGATGAAGATTATAGAGCAAGATAACAATTGACAGACGACTTAAAAGCGTGCAAATCATATGAATCACGAAAGCAAGACGAAGGAAGCGAATTCCAAAGAACTGATGTTCGAAAACAAAAACTAGACAAATAAGAGTTAAACATTTTACTCACGCTTAAAAAAGATTGTCTTTTTATCAAGGTATTTAAAATTTGTAGCATATATATGGTATACATGGCACCCCAAAAACAAAAATATTTAAATGCGGTCAGAAAAATATAAAATTAATTTAAAAATACTAAATTTTTGCGGAGCAAGAAATAGGCGAATGCCACAATACAGGTAGCCTCCCGATGGGGATTTGTTTTTAAAAGTTACGTTCTAAATGTATTTTAAATGTCTTTTAAACGTTTTTTGCGTAAGAATGTTTAGAAGACGTTTAAAAGACATTTAAAATACATTAAGAACGTAACTTTTAAAAACAAATGCCCGTCGGGCTTCGTCTTATTTTACGCTAGTTAAAAACCATATCAATAAACATACTAACTTTATGTCCATGCCACTCAGCAACAACAGTTCGTAAACCATCAGCTAAAAGTGTTTTTGTGATTTTATCTTTAACATTACTAATAAGCCAAGGAAAGTTGGTTTTTCGTTTAAAGTTAATTAATTGATCTACTCCAAAATCTAAAATTAAGTTGATTAATATTATAAATTATAAATTAATAAATAAAATTAAAAATTTATAAATATTGTCTATGAGTAAATAGTATTAACAAAATTTTTATTTAAAAATAATTTATTTACTTTTACAGGAAAATAAAAAAAATTACCAAAATCATGATTTCCGTATAAGGCTGCGTTTACACCGATTGCATTCATTACAGGAATCATTTGTTTGCCTTTAGTTACGCTGCTCACTAAACAAGCCAAAGATTCATTTTCCTCTTTTTATTTACAAATCTTGTGAAAAAAAAAGTAAGTAAAAATAATAAAATTATTTGTAATATGAGAATATTCTCAATAAGTTAGAGTTAACTCATTAATGCAATAAATGAGATTTGAATAATTTGAAGGTGAGGCATAAAAAGATATCTAATCATATTTCAAGTTTGGTTTTTACGCTAAAAATCTGTTACCGGCACCAAAATATTGTGCAGTATTGATAGCAAACTTTTTTTATAACGCTTGAAATGCATTTAAGGAGTGTTATGACGACAATGTGCGCATTTTATTCTTAAAGCCATGTATAGACTATAATTGTAAACACTTAGGTTTAACTCACTGCGGTCATTGAATTAATACTCATTGATTATTTTTATTACTGAGCCTTTTTCAACACAACAACAACAACAAAAACAACAAAAACAACAACAACAACAACAACAGCAACAATAACAACAACAAAATTATGACAACAACAACAACAAAACTACGACAAAAACAGCAAAATTAACGACAACAACAATAACAGCAAACATTAACATCAAAAGCAAAAACAAAATCAGCAACAATAACATATAATATTAATCATCATCGACGGCTATGGTACTTAGACTACCACTAAGCAGTGCCGGATCAAGGGGGAATAGGGGGGGTCTATAGCCCCGGGCCCCGCAAATTTAGGGCCCTTTTTTTTTTTTTTTTTCAAGTCATTTTTAGGCTCTGGCCCATAAAAAGGTCTCCAAAAACAAAAAATAGCCCCAGGCCAAAAGAAGTCTTTTTCCGCCACTGCCCCTAAGAGCTTGTTAGGTGTAGTTTAAAAGTTTCTGAGCAAATAGATCTAGAAAAAAAATAATTTGATTTTTACATAATTTTACTACTTTCACCAATTTAGCCATGAACAGAAATACTCAAGATCAGAATTTCCCAATACCGGATTTCAAAGTTTCAGCAACAAAATTTTAATAGTAAAATTGAAATAAATAGCAATAAAAATACTTAGTGATGGGTTTAAGCAGTCTCCACTGAATAAAATTAATGGTTCGTTTTGGAAACTTTTCACTTTAGTTACAAAACGTGCTGCACCGCCAACAGGTTCCACATCGCGTGGTTCTATGTTATAAACATCGTTAAAATGAAGTATAATTAATTTGTCCGATTTTAGTTCAGAACTTTTTGAATATATACGAAACTGATTTTTTACAGAGTCATTGAGTAAAATAGCACTTTGATTTATTTTCATGTCATTTTTATTTACTGTATCTAAACTAAACGTTTCAACTTGCTCTTTAACAAGTTTGCTATCTTCTTTTTCTGCAAAGTTATTATTTGTAAAAGTTGTCAATGATTTTTTTTTTGATTCTTGTTGTTTTACATGTTCAGGTTTTTTTTCCTCGTTTTCCTGAACTTCGCTATCTTGAAATAAGTTTTTGTTGCTGCTTTCTATAGTGTTGCTGCTTTCTATGGCTTCATCAATTGAGGGATTCTTAAAAGAGACGTTTTTTTGAGACTCTTGTTTTTGTGTATGTTTTTTTAGTTGACCATTGGATTCCGATTGTGTCTGGTTTTCATTCTGATTATGTTCTGGTTTCATTTCTGTCACTACTATAGGTGTTCTTCGTGAGGAACAAACAGAACCCATTTTTATTTGTTGACTCTTGTTTTTTAATCTCAAATCTTGAAAGCATCTAACTTCTCAACTTTTTTTAAACTAAAAATAAAGAAAAACGATCAATTAAATATAAAACCTAAGTAATAGTTCGCGTAGATGTTATATGAATTGATACTTTTATTGTGATATTATATTTTTAATAAATTTTTTTTTTGAAAATCTTAAAATATGTCTGTCACTTTTTTCGTGTGTTTGTTTTTTATGGTTTATATATAAAACATCCATAAAGCGTCTAAAAAATAATGACAAATTATGATTGGTTATTATACTTAAAAAAAGAACAAAAGTTTAGATTTTAGTTTTTCTTTTCAATATATTCTTTAATATTTAAAAAAATAAATTATTTTTTGGATTATGTTAGATGTATTAAAAATATTTTTTTCCATTTAAAATAAAAATAGAAATTCACAAAAAACATAAAACAAGTGATGAAAGGCGAGGAATGGAAAGTACAGGAAATTTAAAAACACAGGAATTAAAACCAATATTAAAAATAAAACTCTTTTTTAAAAAAAAAAAAAAAAAAGGAGTTTTATGTTGTTGTTATATTTTAAAAGCATTTTTTTGTGATTTTATTTTAAAACCATTTTTCAATCATTTTTTCTTGGTTGTTCCTTAAAGTAATTGCATCAATAACCTTAAGGAACAACCCCTGGACTACCCCAAGCCCCAAGGGATTCCCTGACGATCTTTATTTTTTTTATAATTTGTTATAAAACAAGATGCTTATTTAATTCATTTAGTAAATAAACAAATATAGTTACAATAAGTGTAATAATAATAAAATATAAGTGTAATAATAATAAAAATGATAATATAGATAGTGATAAACAAACATAGCAAATAAACACTGTAATATACATTTAAATTGATGGTGTTTATGACATCATAAACTGATTATTTTCTAAGTCTTTATAATCTTTGTTGCTAAGTTTGTAGTTATTTAAAAAATAGAGAGTTGAAACTACTAGAGATCTCAACATCAGAGGAGGTCTTCTTAAAAGTACTTACTTGGTTGCACAAACTAAATAAATTTTATTTTTTAGATAATGAAACCTTTTTAAATGAAACACCAAAAATTTGTTTAAAACTTCTTTTTTTTAATAGACCCATACCATACCTATGCAACGGTATGACATCTTTACAGGTAAAGACGTCATATCTTTTCGCAACAACATCTTTCTGTGAGCGAAGATGTCAATTTCAGTTTTAAGCTATTTCGAGTCAAAAACTTTTTTTTTTAATTTTTGAAACAGTTTTTCAAATTTAAAACAATTTTTTTAGTAGTTTTAAGTACAAAGATTTCCGCAAATTAAACGACAAACCAGTTAGCCCTTTTAAGTCAATCTCCAGCTGACCTACGATGATATCTCGAGCAGAATTTTGTTTTGTCGTAATATTTGTAAAACGATTTTTAATGACTTTAATAATATACACCGGTATATTAAATTATTGGGTGGCTAAAACCTTTTAGATTTTAAATTTTTTAAATTAAAATTAAAATTAACAAAACTTATTTTTTAATATTCAACTTTACAGTTAAATTCTAAAATATTAGTAGAAAAAAAAAACTTAAAATAAGATTTTCATTTCTAAAAAAAAGGAGTATGTTAAAAATTAAATCTTACGTTGCATTTGTGAAGAAATATCATTTACTTTTTTAAAACCGCAAATATTTTTTTTTTTATTTTGCCATTTCTTGAAACTAAAACAAATCTAGTAGTTAACGACTACGACAAACAAACATTATAAAGTAACACATAGCAACAAACGTTTTGATCAATTCGTTTTAAAGTGCTTCAATAGCTGATACGATTTCTAGCAACATTGGAATTTATTTAGAAAACAAATAAAAAACAAAAAGCACTTGGTAGGTTAAAAGAGGGAAAAAGGAGATCCAAAAAACATCTGATTAGGAGTTAAAACTTATAAAAAAAATGTACGGTTTAATGAAAAACAGTGAAACAACTCTATCCTACAATTTAAAATTTATTGTACTCTCTAAATTTCTATTTTTAGTTGTCCTAAATATATATTTATAATCTATAAACTTTTATCTTTTTTAAATATCTTTTAGAATCTAATACGTAGTAAGAAAAAAAGTATTGACTACAGTTCTTACCTTCTTGAAATAGCTCTTAAGTATTCACCAAAATTTATTATTAATAATTTTTTTTATTCTATATATTTTTATAATAACATCCCAAATAATACACAGACGTCGAACGGCCGGTTTTTATGACTACAACTTTTATATCAGTATCACATCGACATCGATTCATCTAATAACCAATAAACGAATAAATGAACAAATGTTTCCCAGGTAAACGACATCGTCCCGATGTCTTTTCAACTGAAAATATAATAATATACATAAAAGTTTTCAAAAATCCTATTTTCTTTTTTTATTTATTTATTTATTTATCAACAACTGATTTAACATCTTTAATTTATAGTAAGTTTATATTTTATATTTTGTATATTTATTCAGTCATTAATAATAATTATTTACAAATTTATTGAAATCATGCACAGTAAAAGCAGTTCGTGGTAAGAATTTATCTAAATAACATATTCTAATTATTGACTGAGTGAGGCAGACAAGAACCCCTCTTTTCTGACAACATTTGTAATTATAACTGCACCAGACAAATTGAAAAGTGTGAATAAGCTGCACTATTAAAGTCTACATTTAAGACAGTTGAGCGATGGTGCGTTTAGTGACGTACCAACATGTTTTGGGGCCTAGGGCGGCACTTGGTAAATGGGGCCTATATATATATATATATATATATATATATATATATATATATATATATATATATATATATATATATATATATATATATATATATATATATATATATATATATATATATATATATATATATATATATATATATATATATATATATATATATATATATATATATATATATATATATATATATATATATATATATATATATATATATATATATACTACATTAATGAATGTATGTATAACACATTATCTTTCTCCACTTTCTTGAAAACGTTTGTAATAAAAATTAGCAAATACCATCTTTATCATTATCTATTAGTTTATATATATATATATATATATATATATATATATATATATATATATATATATATATATATGTTTATAAAAACGTTTGTAATAAAAATTAGCAAATACCATCTTTATCATTATCTATCAGTTTATATATATATATATATATATATATATATATATATATATATATAAATATATATATATATATATATATATATATATATATATATATATATATATATATATATATATATCCGTTAACGCCATTATATCACTTATAGAAATTCATTTATGTACACAAATGACTAAAACATTAGTTTTGATTATTTATTTAAATGATAATACAATGATGTACAATGTACAGTAAAAAAAACAGATTTACAGGAAAGAGTTACCTCTAGAAACACATTTAAATGCTTTCTTGCGAGCCTTGAATTCTGCAAATCGTTTGATTAACTCATCGAAATTCACATGTTTTGCAATTTCGTTTTCTACTGATATTATGGCCAAGCTCGTCAAACGAGACTGGCTCATTGCAGAGCGGAGAGTTTTTAATTAATTTCAATTTCGAAAAACTCCTCTCACAAGAAGCCACGGACGCACATATAGTTAGAAACAGTTTAAGAGCTTCAGTCACGTTTATCAACGATTCACGAAAGTTCATTTCGATAAAAAACTGAAGCATTTTCAAGGATGTCCATGCAGCTGCAATGTCTAATTTGATGCCAGAAGCCTTCAGATGCTTTCTCAGCCTCTTTACTTCAGGCAGCATTTCTTCCTTCTCTACATTATTGAAAGTTTCTGAAAACTGATCGGCATACGTTACAATTTCTTCATCATTTGCCTTCAAAAGATTACCTGTGTGTACAACAGCAAACTTTTCATACACAGTGTTTATCGAGGTCAAACGTTTTTCTAATTCTACATGAAAGTGGTCAATGCACTCGAACATAGCACGCTTCAATTCTTCCTGTGGTGTTAAACCTGCATCTTCAGCAATTTCTCCTGGTATCATCTTTTTCACTCACTTGCGTTTTCTGCTTTCAATATCAATGCCCATTTTAGCACAAGTCTGGGTCGCATATTCAACAGCATTATGGACCAGAACTTCTCGACTCTCTACTAAAAAGGTCTTCAAGCTTTTCAGCTTCACAACACACTTTTCCAAGCTAATACCTTCGATTTGAAGATATTTTTGGGCATGATTCTCCTCGAGTAGAATGTGGTACCACAAATGCAAGAAGCAAAGGAAATTGAAATTACAAATGTTTGTCATCAACACCTCCGCTGCTCCTCTCGTATCTAGGTTTTCAGAAGCATCACAAACCTTTTCTACAGCCTTAACCAACTTTTCGAAATGTTTAAAGATTGGTTTCACGGCATCGTGATGAGCACTCCACCTGGTATCATTAAGTCTCTTCACTGTCACTCCAACAGTTTCTTTTAGGACCTCCCATCTATGTGTTGAACATGAAAAAAACGTGTACACACTACCAAAGTTCCAAAAAATGTGACACAAACAGAAACACTACCAAAAGCATGTACGCCACATAAATTAAGCGAATGATTTGCACAAGGCACAAATATTGCTTTTGGATTAAATTCTTTAATTCTGGTTTGTACTCCTGTATGAACTGAAAAACAGACATTGTCGTGGCATTATCGTATCCTTGGCTTCGACAAAGCTTTAAATCAAAGCCGTCCTTTTCAAGAGATTGAACAATTTCCTGTGTTATGGAGTCTGCCTTTTTCCCACTTAGAGGAATAAAACCTAGAAATGGTTCTTTCACTTCCACGTTCCTGTTATCAATTTTCACATACCTTATGATCTGACTTATTTGTTCAGAGTGGGATATATCTGGCGTGCTGTCAAACAATATGCCATAGAATTTAGCTTTCTTAATTTCACAGATTGATTCTTGTTTTACAGCATCGCCTAAACTCATTTTGCACTGCAGGCGATAAATAAGAAACTGTAATCAATCCTGATTCCAATGATTGCTAATGCCGTATGCTGTGCTCCTTTAAAACAGGGTCATAGTTTGAAAGGAGGCTGGCAAGTTCCAAGAAATTATCACGGTTTTCAGAAGCAAAGTCATCCCTGTGGCCTCGAAAAGGCAAATTCTGCTTTGCCAAAAAAAGTGTTATATCTAAGAGACGATGCAAAATGTCTCTCCATTTCTTCTTCTCTCTTTCCATTACGTCTTGGTAAGCAGCGTCGATGGTTTTGTTTTGGAGAAGCCTTGCTTCAAGTTTTTCCATTTTTCTAAATTGTTAATATGTAATTCAGAGTTTTCGTGATCTGATACTTTGGGTTTCAATTTCCACCAACTATTGAATCCTGTGATGAAACTTGATTTGGTCGTTGGATTATTGTTCTTATCAAACAACTTGCAACAAAAGCAAAACAGTGATTTTTTTTCATGAGAATAGACCATCCATTTCCTCAAAATCTGTTCTCCACTTGGAAGCTTGTTGTAAAACCAGCTTTTTGTCAGCTGTCTAGTTTGACCCTTTGAATTTTCTCCTGGTTTATGAACTGGATCAAATGGCCCCTCCAAGTTCTGGTAAATTTCACTGCCTTGTCTTATAACATCGGTTCTGAGATAATCTGGCATTGGAGTGGGCCAGTTTCCAACATCATAATTTAATGTTAAATCCTCTGATTCGTGTACTGAATTTGCGTCTGATTCAGAACGTATCGAATTAGTTATGTCTTCTTCTTCTTGCCTTTTGTATTGTTCTTCTTCTCCTTTTTCTTGTTCTTCATTGCTTGTTTGTTCATTTCGTTGGCCATAGCTTGTACTCGGGCCTTAAAAGATTCAGGGCCCTCCTCTGGCCCTGCTTCATTGTTTGCCTGGGATAGTACCCTTTTAGTAAATTTAAGTATTCAACCCGACAACCGTTGTAGTTCTTGTTCTTTGGCTTTTTGTTTTTTCTTCTTTTCCCATCCACTGGGATAGTTTCGTTTTATGTTATCAACAGGTCTCTTGACTCTGAAAATAATTGTTCTATTTTAGACAATAAAGTATTTAGAAAATAAAACAAACCTTCGCGTTATGGGTTTGAAAACGAACCAAACCTAATAAATAAACACTGCAAGATAAAACTGTCAAGATTTGAATTACATTTTTCGGCTGTTTTTTTAGAAAAATTTCAGAATAAGTAACAGTATAACTAATGATGTTTTCATTTCGCTTGTTAGTAGATATCTATTTAAAGTGAAATGTGCGCGCATGAAAATGTAAAATTTCTGGTTTTTAAAATTCCATTGTTCTTTTGTTGTAGGTATTCAATAGTCCATTGTTCTATTTACGCATCAGAGCTTCGCATGTCTCCACGAATAAAGTTAGGTAACTCTTTTGGTGTGTTTAATAACGTTTTTCATTGGAATTATTTTTTGTTATTATTCGTGGTTTTACTAAAGAGACAGGTTGGCAGAGATTGGCTGTCTCCACGGGAGTTGTTTATTCTAGAATTTTCTTAAGGGAATTGTTAGATTGCCTATTATTGCTAATGCTTTAACGAGTATTTTCAGAGCAGCTGTTCAAAGGGGAATTTAGATGTTCTCATTGTATATTATTGTGCCTTTAATTTAGTTAGTTGTGTATTTTCTGTTTTGACGTATATTATATTTAATATATTATTTATTATATATATATATTATATTTATTATATTTACAACTATTATTGTATTTATTATATTTATTGTAT